ATGGAGTAAAAAAAGTTTTTATCTGAGGGTTGATCCGAACATTTAACCATTCACGCGAATGTGGGAATAATCTACTATCAAGTCCTACATCGCAACATCGTGTCAGGAATCAAGGGTGACCGGTTTTTAAATAGTACATTCTTTTTCTCAATTTGCCTTTCGAGGGTGTGTGTGTGTGTGTGTGGCGAAAAAGGGCGAATTGCCCAACTTCTTGTTCTGACTGACTGACCGATCACGTTGATTGCGTTGATTGGCGTTGAGCTCCGCAACACCTTGAAATCGCGTCCACATGGTCGGCAAGGCTTCAGTGGCGCCAAGGCGACCCGCCTCTGAGCCAGCACTGCCCAGCAGCCTCGGGACGCCAGAGGACGTCGATGTTGCCGGGGCTCCCAGGGGTCCCAGGGGTCGGGGGGCGAGAGGCAGACTGCCCCAAGTCTTCTTCTCCCAGCCGGTCGTGCCAGGATGCTTAAGGTAGAGCGAGTTGGCCACCTGATGCAGTCCGATCCGGTCCACCTCCCGACGCAGGCCGCCCAGCATCGTGGCAGCTCCGACGACCAGACCGAACGCCAGCACCAACAGACCAGGAATCAACCAGATTACCGTTGGCCGTAATCCGGACGTCTCCAAGCCGACCGGTTGCCAGGCCGTCGGCAACACGGAGAAGTCGAGCTCGGCCCTAGTGAACCCGTTCTCCGCCGTACATCTGATCATCATTTGCGCTTTTTTCGACGTATCATCTTCCGCCTCCATCCTTTCACGTCGCCAACCCTCAAGAAAGCTGTTCAGTTGCCATGGCGATAGGCTGCAATTGGTCGCTTGTCTTTGACCCGCCGTCTCCAACCTCAATGTTGGCTGGTCGTTACGCCATTCACATGTTTCCATGATTAGCCCGTCTTGGCGGAGCCCAGCCTCCGGCGATGCCATGACTCGCCAGACGACAGTTGCCGGCGGCCAACCGTCAGCCTGGCAGATGTAGGTCGCCGTTGCCGTTTCCGTGGCCGTGGCTGTCTGTGGGTCGGGCTCGATCTGAATCGGTGTGGCCTGGCCGAGGCTTTTTAGCCGGATTGGCTGCATAGCAACCGGAACCAGATGGAGACGATCAGAGATGGCATCGGGCGTGGAGCAGACTAGTTGTCCACCGACTGTCGGCGGCAGGCTGGTAGTGAGCTCAGCGACCAGATGCGAGGCGTTGTCACGACGCGTCAGTCTCGAGTCTCCGACCCACGTGATATCGACGTTGGCATTGGCGTCGGCGTCGATGTTAACGCTGGTGTTGGTGTTGGTGTTGGGCCAAAAGTGAAAAGAGATTGAAGTCGACCGATCAGCCTCGAGAGTTACGGGCAGGCGGCAGACGAACGTGTGTATGGTGCCCGTCAACAAATGATGCACCAACCGGTCGACTTGGGCCAATTGGGCGAAATGAGCAAATTTATGCTTATGATCGGGTTGGAGGCGGAGTTGGGGGGTCGGAAAGTTGGAGGGACGTTGTCGGATGTGCAGACTTTGCGTCCAGTTGACGCAGACCTCAGGACTGGCGACTCGACTTGTCGGGCTGTAGACGAGTTGACAGACGAGACAAACCCAACTGGGCCAAGCGACAGGTCGCCAGTCTTGTTGATCGGCCTGTGGCGCGAAGTGGAACACGACGTCCTGGCTCGCAGACCCGGGCTCGAGTCCCGTCTTAGCCTCGGTCGAGACTAGAGTGGCGGGATCGAGAAGGCGTGACGGGGTGGTGATCCGACCGGCAGTGAGTCGTGATGAGCGCATCTGCCAGACGACATGTTCAGGCTGGGGTTGATGTCCGAACTGGTGGAGCGAGCCTCGGACGCCGAGGGGTCGAGTCGAACAGACGATTGGTTTGTGGGGCTGCGTGAATAGGCCGATCAGGCCCTTGACAACTGGCCTAAGATTGGCTCGGCTCGGCCGATAGACGAAGAGATGCAGTTTCCGGCGCCGATTGGGATAGCCAAAGTAGACAAAGAGATGTCGCACCAACTGACGATCTTTGACGTCGACGCTGGCGTTGGCATTGACGATCGTCGGTCGGACGAGGCAGCGGTCTGTTGTGGATCCCACCTCGACACTTCGACTCGCCTGCAGGTCGACCGGACAGTCGAGGCTCGAGGTCGCCCGGACGATGCAGACATGACAAAACTGGACGCCAACCGGCTCGGTCGGTCGCTCAAACTCAATCATCACTTCAACGCTGGTGTCGAGCTCAGTGTTGGTGTCAGTGGGAAATATGAGAGCGAAATGGTCATCAGCAGACGACACCATGTCAACCGATTCTGCCGGTTCGAGGTCGGTCAGATTGGTCGGAGTCAAGCGGGTGAGTCGAACGGTGGCGGTGGTGTTGGTAGCGAGGCTGAGGTTGAAACGAAGAGGGCCGAATGGCCCGAGGGCGAGGAGGAGGCTGACTCCGTTGCTGGGTGCCGTACGCTCAGCACTTCGCACCTCGGCCTGTACCAGAAGTCGCTCGTGTCGTGGCAGTCTCATCTCGAGGCGATCTGAGAAGACCAGCTCCGCGGCCGACGCTTCAGCCGCCAGACAGCCGATCTTCTGCCAGTCGGTCTCGG